GGTTTCTTTTCTCAATATGTCTGGCATGTTTGTTGTTGTTTTTTTATTATATTTATTTTATTTACTTACAAAGTTATAGTAATACATAATGTTCCATAATTAAATATAAATAAATAATTTACATAACAGTTTATTTTCTTTTATTTTTTTTCATTTTCATTTTTATTATGTCTAATATTTTCATTGATTTACTAATAAGTTTTAAACAGTTTGCTTTTGTTTATTTTATCCATTCAATTAAAATAAAAATGAAATTTTATAAAATTAAATTTAGTTTGTCCTTTCACCATTAAATCAATATTTGAATATACATATATTTATATATATATTGAGTATATAGACTTTGGAATTCAATTTTCAACATACTCGTAGAATTTGTTTTTAATTTTATTTAACTATATTTTGTTTATGTTTCAACAATAAACGAATTGGAAATGAAATGAGTTTAATTCATATGGATTTCTTTTAATAAACATTTTTACTATTGGACAAAAATTTGCATAAAAATGTCTTGGTTAGAACTTAACCGTTTAGTTCTTATTGGAATGGAATGGTTTCACTTTGTATTATCATTTATCCTTGATCTCATTTGTATGAACTGCACGAAAAGAACATTTTGCATTAACTACGATATTTTGTATTGATTGTTGTTTGGATTTTTCTTGATTTTTGTAGGTTTTCTTTACTGAGGTTCTGGATGATCCGATGATCCGATACGATTTCAATGTTGACGGTTTGCTTGAGTTCTCTTTGGTTATTTGTTTGCTTCTTTCATATGTTTTATGTGTGATACTAAGGTGTGCTGTTATTCTGAAAATAAAATATATAATACTATTATAGATAGTAGACCACAACATGATCTTCCATTGGTGTTTACCTGAATCGATCAGCTATGTAGCGTTTACTTCATATTCTTCAGTATTTCATCAGTTTCCTCAGGATCCTTGAGAGTGTGCCATTGTGCAATGGGTCGACGTGGCGAGGCCAGCATATCGGACCAATGACGCAATTCGGTGCCGGTGGCCATGCAGCCAAGTATACAGCGTCCGATCGGCTCGGAGGTGCCAATACGATCGTAATCCACAACGGTAACAACAAGACAGATTTTCTAAACAATTTCCAAATCGTTGGCAATGGCAAAAAGCAAAGCGTTAGTTTATACGTATAATCAATCAGTAATATTCATCAGCTAAACGGTCACTTGAAACGGGGGGATGGAACTGCTATGCGTGTAGCATAGAAATATGTTTTTGGATGTAGAACTTTTTGCCGAGAGATAAACGTGTTCTGTATTTCCTTCTTTGATTTTGGGGTATTGAGGGGAGGGAGGGAACTGTTTATTGTTGTTTTTGGGAAGCATTTTACATAGGCATAGTTGAACTACAGTTATTCGGGTGCTCTGTTGGAACAAGGTGCATGAGTTAACGGTTATGCAGAGTTTTGGTCGGGAATCCTGGAACAGCCCTATATGGGCTTAAACAGGTCTGTAGAGCTTACAGAGCAGAGAGAGAGTCTCATCAGAGTTGGGGTACAAGCTTTAAAGGAGTTTTATCTAAAAAGGTGGGCGACATATTTTCAAGCATTACAAAAAGCGCCATTAAATATATTTTCTAAAGTGAATGAATTAAAGCTGGGTCCATGTTTGGAATGGATTTTTTTTTAATTTTATATTTCGTTATAACAAGCATTGCATGCATTTGACTAAGCTTTCAAATAAAAATGAAAAAACTAAAAAAAAATGAAATGTAGAGATAGATAGAGAGAGAGAGAGAGTTAGTTGAAGTGAAAAGCGTATGAGTTTTCCTCTTATTTGCTGGTGTAATGATCTTATAGAGAAATGTTTATAGATATAGTTCGCCTCTCTTTAACCTGGGCTAATGAACAAATTACTTTTTATTTGATATATAGCTATATACAACATTTTGTCAACATTTAAGCTGAAGCAAAAAGAAAAATGTTCATTAAATACGTGTAAACGAAAATGTATAATATTCAATCCCATTTGTCGTACATATTTTCCTAGTCAGAATGCAAAAGTTTCCTTTGTGTTGCTACTCAGGTTTAGTGGGGGCGCATTGGGGGGCAGGTCTTGGACTAGCAGCCGAAGTTCTTGAGATATGTTTGGTTTTCAACGTTGTTTGGAATGTGGCATGTTATGTTATGTTGATACGCTATACTTCTCTTTGGTGTTCTCATATAGTATATATACAGAGTATATATAGATATGCTTAAGCTTGTACTGTATTTCTTGTATTGTAGTAGTACTGTAGTTTGAGTGGTTGGTGGTTGGTTGGTTGTTGTTGTTGTTGGTGGTTGGTGGTGCGATTGGTTTATTCGATATTCAAATCAGAAGACAGTGTCAAAATAATGTACCCATATTGTGGTGCATTATTGACGCCGCTGACGATAGTTTGCGATAGTTTGCGATAGTTTGTATTATGGAAAGAGTAGTAGTAGGTAGTTTATAGGTTTTTCTTTGTAGTTTCTTTTTGTAGTTAAAGAGTGAGTGTGTTTAACCTCAATTATCGCGACAGAGAATTATAGAGAGAGTGAGAAAGAGAAACAGATAGAGATAGAGAGTGCGAGCAAGAGCGAACGGCACTACTGCTCGCTGCTTTTATCTGAATCTTTAGCTACATTTTACGTTTTGTGTGTTGTGTTCTCTGAGGTGTATCTCAAATTCTTGTGTAGTTTTAACTACGAAGCGCAACAAAACCTAAACCTATCACAACAAATTGTCATTGTCTGTGTCAAAATCAACAAAGAACATATATAAATATATATATATATAGATAGATAGTTTGAAAAACCAAATCAGAATCAGAGTCAGAGAGCTAAGCAATAAAATTAAAAATTATTTTAAAAATATTTTCACTTAATTTTTCAATCAACTACGAAACATAAAAGCAAATCAGGGCAAGTTTTAAATATTTTTGTTTTCATATTCGCAAACAACTTGCTGCGCTCAGCATCTTAATTGTTATTATTTACAGCCGGCATGTGGGCGTGGCAGTCGTTGAGCGAAATATACATATTGGAACACAAAATATAAAGCAAAAAGTGTGTAATTTTTTTTTTTTTTTTNACACATATAACATTTAGATAACTTGGAGGGTTTTTGGAGGTTTTTCTGGGCAGTACGAAAGTAATTTGGTAGTTTGTTTGTTTTTGGTTAAACAATTTGTTTCAAGAGTTCGGCGTTAGAATACGAGTATTCAATAAATTTAATGTACATAATATATATGTATATATAAAGATAGTTATATTAACAACAACAAATTGCACGAATAAGGGCTAAGTGTGTGGTTTGAGTTTGGAAGGCGGGTTTGTAGACTGAAACTTGTTTTGTTGTTGGTTGATAGTTCAGAAAGGGACAGCTTTCAAGTACAGTTGACAGTAGATAGTAAGTAGTAGTAGTATTGGTAGTAGAGTAATAGTAGTAGTAGTAGTAGTAGTAGTAGTAGTAGTAGTAGTGGTAGTAGTAGTAGTAGTAGGTTTTTATAGGATAGTATAATACATTCTCGCATACTTGTATTTGTTCAAATGGTACTTCAAATGAGAACGACTCATTATAGTAAGGGTTGAGGGTGCATTTTTTGATACTTGTCTTCTTCTTTTTCAAACGTTTGCCATTTTGCATGATTGCAATTTTCACATATGGATCTATAAAATAGAAAAAATTGAAAGAAAGAAAAAGAAAACGTTTTCTTTTATAATAATAAAGTAAAAGTTTGAAGTTGATGAGCAGATTTTTGTTTTTAAATTTTTTTTTTGTTTTGTTTGTTTTGACAGTTTACACACACATATAACGAAAAACGGTACTTGGATTCATAATAATAACATATATGTATATATATTATCGATTATAAGATTAGTGAATAAATTTTACGTCAATAAAAAGAAAAAGGAAAAACGATTTAATGACCAGAACAAATGAAAGCAGAAACGTTTTGGGTAAAATAAAGGCCAATCCCATAGAGGGATGTGTGGCAAATATGTTTATGTAACTATAGAACTTAGAAAGTTAATAAAGTCTTATATGCTTTGGGTTTAGCATTTAAGGTTTCATCGCATTGAAACGTATCAACATATGGAAAATCGCAAGATTTACAAAGAGCCCATGAAAATAGAATTGACACGAAGCGTTGATCGTTGATCGTTTAGCGTTTATCGATAATTATTGCTATTTGCAGATTTGTTTCCACTTTCGTTTGCCTGCTCATGAAAAGAATTATTAAAAATCAAATATACATATATATATATATTTATTGAAAGATTTAGTTAATTAGTTTAACGATAATATTTTGGAACATTTAAACACTTGAAACTCAAGGCGAACAACAACGAAATCATAAGATACGAAAATATATGGTTATTAAAGTTAGATAGTCTCATCATATTTCAGAATTTCAGATCGAATATCATTAGAGCATGGAAAGAATGTCAATTGCTTCTTCAAAAACATACTTGGAAAATGTTCTGTTGTTTGTAAAAGCCTAGAAGAACTTGAAAACTTCCTTCATTAAAGGAAGTTTCTTTTGGTTTTTGGATATATTCGGCGGCAACGTTTGCGTTTGGTTCCCCTCTAGGTAGAGGAGTTCCGAAATATTGAATGCGAGTGTTTGAATTTCAATTGATGTTGATTGAGTAGTTATTAAATAACATGCAAAAGTGAAGCTAGAAGCAAGCGAATTTAAATGTACCGCTAATCTCTGATAGCAATAGCCGTTCGAATTAAGCATTATATACTTTTTTTTTTTATATTTATTTTGTTATTAAAAAAAAGTGCAGTATTTTTGGGTGATGGGAACGTTGCCGAACGAAAATATATCCATTGATTGGTATTAAATGATATTTATTTATTTATTTTTAGCGTACGCAAAATATTACTTAAGACTTAGAGACAAATAGAGAGATAGAGAGAGAAGAGTATTATATAAAAATATTATGCAAGTCGAAAATTTGCGCTAAAAGTTAGTTGAAAAATCGAATATTGCGAATTGACAAAAAAAAAAAAAAAAAAAATTATTGGGTAGAAAAAAACATTGGATATTGAATATTTTGCTCGATGCAAACGTTGCCTTGGCGTTTGCATTTCATCATTTGATCTTGACACGAAACCAAAATGAAGATAATTACTCAAATCAGATCAGAAACAAAGCAAATACCAAAACTGAAAATGAAACTGGTTATACAAATATAGATATACACATAGATATAGATATACGGGAGATAGATATTTAAATAGACACTGAAGCGTTGCCAAAATTGTCAGCGATTCAAATGGGGGAATCGCCGTTTGCATTTGGACAACGCTTTGGTAGCACGCCATATTACCAGACAATCCACCGACGTCCATCTTCTTCAAGTTCTTGGCCTCGAGAATGACAACCGTTAGCTTGCCGGCGGTCGGCACATAGCGCAGCGAGAAGCAGATGTCACCAAGCTTTTCCTGTTTGTTGTGCGACAGAAAAGAGTTAAGAAAACGAAATTGTTTTTATGGATTAGTGATATTGGTTCAGATACGAGATTCGGGTTCACAACATTGAACACTTTACATAAGGTCTAAGAAAATTGTTGGGTTACATTTAACACGATTTAGATACGAATACATATAAATATATATATTTACTAGGTTTTCAATTCGAGACGGGCACAAGGACTGCACGGTATGTACTGAAGAAGCTCTTTAAGCGATATTCATTGATGAGCTCTATTATGGAGCTTATCGAATTATATTTAAAGAATATTTTCAGCCCTTGTTCAGGGATGAGAAAGCAATAGAAATTCATATTGAAGGTGCTTAAATAATTCAGAAATATAAATGCATTTAGWTTCTTTATTTATTTATAACAAAAATCGATTTGCCATCAATTTCTTGTTGAAATATCAAAGCTTAGCTGTAAAGCTTTTCAGAAAATAAATAAAAATATAAATTAACATAGTCCGCTTGAATTATCAATTAACATGTAATTACGATATTCGAATACGATAAACGAATAGAATATAAGAGGATTGCAGACAAACAGTTAGTATATGTATTATTGTACTGTTTGCATATTAACTAAAACAGATACATATATCCGCATATAGCCAAACAGGGACAATTCGGGGAGACACCTAGTACTCGTATACAGTTAATTTAGTTATTTTTTAAGTACATATTTAAACAATAGTGTTACATTAATTTGATTTATATTTTAATATTGACACAAAACGAAAACGTCACAAATAAGTACATGGAAATACAATTACTGCACGTCTTAGAGCTTCGATTTGTTAAAGTATATGTATGTATATATGCACACTTGTATATACACGATATATGGTGTATATATAGTGTATAGTAGCATGTATATGTATGTGAGTAGAACTGAAAATTGATTATGAACTTAACCTGAACAAATAAAACAAACTTATTTACTTTTGTTTGCGTGTTATTTGTTTAACTCTTTGTAGTTTTTGTTGTTGTTTAGTTGTTTGTTGTAGTTGTTTTTGTACGGAGTTTTTGGTTTACTTATATATTTGAATGTATATTGTTGTTGTTGCTATTTACTGGTCAAAGACACAAAACTTACGCACGAGTCATAATGCTTATAGACAAACTGTATATCAATTAACCCAGCTCAAAACCAACGGCGCAAAAAGCAAAACGGAGTTTTTTTATTGTCAATATTTTTAATATAAGAAGCGAAACGAATATGTGAGAGAGACAGACAAAGAGAGAGAGAGAGAGTGAGAGGGGTTCAAGACAGCCAATTCGTATTATATGTACAGTTTGGCTACGTTTCGTTTTGGATAACTGACGGGCCTCAGGCGCCTT